CGGGTTATCAAATCTTCCATGCCATCCTTCTCAAGTCCCTCCCCCAGCTGGACAGGCACTGGAATGTGTAACAAGTGCTACTCCTTTGTGTGGTACTTGACAGTTTATAAAGCACAACCATGATAAAAAAAAAAACTAGGATGGTGGGTAGTTCTACTCCCAGACTCAAAAAAGAGCAATGACTTGGCCGATGTCCCACAGCTAAAGGAGACCACAGTCCACCAACCCATTGTACTTTTTATCAGACTGCTTTTCGGAGCTAGGATCCTCAGACAGGGTGGGAAGGGGATGAAGTGGGGAGACAGGGAAGGAGGAGCGCCAGGCCCTTTCTCAGACATTTTTTCCTCACACAATCCTGATGTCAACCTTTCTGGGTGTGTAGGACTCCTCAGCATGGCAAAGTGGACTCTGAGGGGTCAAGTTCAAGATCATATATGGACTAGCTGAAGGCATTTACTCCAGGCTGTCTTCCCTACCCCAAGGCTGCCTGGAAACCACGTGGGGAGGCAACAAGGCAGGAGAAACACTGGGGGCAGCTCTGAAGGCTGCTCTGTGCCACAGTGAGATGCTCACCAGCTTGGGAGAACAAGGGTGCCAGAGCCCAGGCAGGAGCAGCACTGGGGACTTGGTGAGAAATGACCAGGGATCTAGGCAGAAGGAAAGGGGGTAAGGGTGGGGGTAGGAGGAGTGAAGGGAGGAGATGGTCTGGAGGACTTAGCACCATGTCTCCTAGCAAGTGACTTCAGATGCATGCTTACCCACCACAGCAGGTAGAGTCAAAGCTCTAAAAATCCAATCTGAAAGCAGTCATGGGAAACACACCAATCAGTGGTTTGTAGTTAGTCTTTGATTTAAGGAAAGAGGAAGTTCAACCCTAATGAAGTAAAAACAACTTACCGTCTGGAGCAGCACATGCCTCCTCCTCTCCAACCCAAGCTCCCATCCATGGTCATGCTCTCACTGCCACTTGGGACAGCCGTCCTGACCCCTCAAAGATCCTTTCCCCTATGCTTCTCTACAGTTCCTAGAAAGCCAGCAGGAGGTGAAGACGAGGGTTTGAATCTTTGTTGCAGCTTTCTGGACACCTGTTCCATGTCTGCCGTCCTAGCCAAACAACGTGGACACGGAGGCCAGCAGGCTGGGGCTACAATGAACCAAGCAGCCCCCCTACCGCCTCATTACCGTACATCCTGGCAACAAATGGCCACCTTGCCCCAACAGAGCCCCCATGGGCTCTTTCCTGACTTCCCTGCAGTGTGAGCTGCCTGAAGGTGCTGTAGAAGGTGAAGGAATGATTTGGGCTTTGACCTTTGCAGACCTAGGTATGAATTCCAACTCTACCAAGTGCTAGCTGAGTCCCAGTTGCCTTATCTGAAAAATGGGGATAATGATTCTTAACTCAAAATGTTGCAGGAAAGATTGAATGAGACTGCATCTGCTAGAATCTGGTACTGTCCATCTAGCACACAGTAGCTAGTGAATAAACATTAGCTCTATTTTCTCCCTCTTCCCCCAATACTGGGGAGGTGGGCTGGCCTGGTGTGATATGGGGTACAAGGTAACAACCCACTGTTCCCCTGGCTTCTCTACCCCTTCATCTGTGTTCTCCTTCCCTCTCAGGCTTCATTTCAGAGCCTGATAAATGCAACATGCAAGGGCAAAGATTACATTGCAAGGCCTCAAGGCCTCCTTTTCTAGGCACATTGAGTGGAATCACAGCTTATACGATGATTGGGTTCTAAATTCACCAAGAAATGACTATATTAAAAATTACTCCTGGGGCGCCTGGGTGGCTCAGTTGGTTAAGCATCTGCCTTTGGCTCAGGTCATGATCCCGGGGTCCTGGGATCGAGCCCCACATTGGGCTCCCTGCTCAGCGGGAAGCCTGCTTCTCCCTCTGCCTCTCCCCCTGCTTATCCTCTCTCTGTCAAATAAATAAGTAAAATATTTTAATAAATAAATAAATAAATAAATACTCCTGAAAATATCTTAAACACAAAATAAATAGAACACAAGTTTAGTACTGTCTATATAGAAATCAATCCAATGTGGCCAGTTTTTTCTATTTTCCCTCTAGTGTTGAAACAAACCACAGTTTCTTTGGTTAAGTAACAATATGACTAGCTTACACTTAGGGATCACATTATAAGAGAAGTTCACCCCGTATATGTACAGCATTAACAGCTGTGTGTCATTTGTGTGAGCCACGAGGCTTCTCACTATTGTGTCCAGGGAACTTTAAATATGGTTTCTCACCTTGACTCCCTAACCAGAGTTGCTTCTGCCTCCCCACCCCTGCTACCCCATTAAAGAATATTTTTTAATTTATAAAAATAGATGGACATTCTAGAAATTTTGCAAAGTACAGAAAGGAAGTAACAAAAAGAAAGCCCTTCACAAAAAAAGGCAGCCTCATTTTGGAATATTTCCTCTCCAGTCTTTTTTCTCTTTAAAATTTTATATTGTTAGGGTCACAGTATATATAATTTTTCTACTTTTTTTCTTAATTCTGCCTGTTTGACCTAATATTGTAATATCCGGCTCAAAAATGATCAGCGGCTTTGCCACAGTCCTTGCTATTAGCAACTCGGTACATGTAATTTTAATGGCTGCATAAAAATGGCTGCATAATTATATAGCTATTTCAAAATTTATTCATCAGCCCAACACTAGACCAGCTGTCTCCAACTTTTCACTATTATAATAATGCCACAATGAACATCTTTCTGGATAAACCTTTCTACACATAGTGAATAGGTTCCAAACCACTTTTTTTTTAAGCAGTAGAAAATCTGGTCCACACAGAGGTGATATCCCACCAAGCCTCGGAAATGATGCATAGGAGACTACCTATTTGACGCTGCTGCCAAGGCATTCCCATTTGGCAGCCAGGGGGCTCAGACTCATCGCAGCAAAAGCAGGGCACCTGTGAAGATAGTGGCCAGACTATTCCATGGTGGGAACACTCCTCAGTCAGCGGCCATTGACTTGGGTGATCTTGATCAAGTCATTTCTCATTTGGGGCTTTGGTTTCTTCAGCTGTAAAACTGGGAGCTGGAATGAGATCATCTCAATGTTCCCTGCTGCCTTTAGAACTGAATGGCTGGCTTTAGAAAAGAGAATGAATTTTACAGACCCAACAATGACTTTCCTCAACAACCTTATAGTTGGATTTCTTTAATGCTGAACTACAACTTGAGGCTATCATGGCCGTTACTGCAAGGCCCTGTGCCCCAAGCTCTCAGTCAGACACTGTGGGAAGAAACTCAGGGAAGGAGAGGAAAAGCCCCGGTGTGGCACAGTAGGGGGAATATGAACCCACTGTGGTGAGCAAGTACAGAATGCTTACAGAGCCTCACACGGATGTCCTGCTCTGAGCATCACCTGTCTGGAAGAGACCATGTGTCCAAAGAAGTTTGCTGGCCAGTATCAGGATGTCAGACTGCAAAGGCTAACAGACGCCCTGAGTTAACCCCTGAGGCCCAAAGCAAACGCTCAGTGGAGAGCCACTCACGTGGAGTCTTCTTTAGCCTGACCCAGAATTCTCTTAATTTGGTTATCTACTTCCCCAGGCCAGACCAGACAGGAACTCAGAAGTAAGGAGAAGTGGGACTGAAGGAGAGTTAGCGGCAGGCTGACAACAGCAAGAAGGGAGCACTGGAGGCTGACAGAGAGGGAGGCTGCACAAGTTAGCAAAAGCAGGCAGAAGAGTTCTAGCAAAGCAGTTTGGGGTCACTTACTGTAGAAGCAAGCTGTCCGTGGCCCTTGCGAGCATTAATGGATATGGCTATAGGTGTTCAAAGGTATGATCTTGGTTAATTCACACCAAAGGTTAACAGACTTCATTTGAGAAGACAAGGAAATCTAAATCTGTGAGACATTTGAGGGTAATTTCCATCAAACCTGTTTCAAATAAAAAAGGGAGGGCGCCTGGGTGGCTCAGTTGGTTAAGCCTCCACTCTTGGTTTTGGCTTGGGTCTTCCTGAGATTGATCAGGATCCGTGCTCAGCCAAGGTTCTCTCCCTTCCCTCTCTCTCTACCCTTACCCCGGCTCACATGCTCTCTCTCTCTAAAATAAATAAATCTTTAAAAAATAATAAAACGAAATTTTAAAGGGGGTAAGTTTCAGTTATCTGAGAGAATGACCCATGTTAAGCACCTCATCTGCTAAGGGTATCAGGAGTCAGGGCAAACTGATTCAGGACATACTGTGTTAAAGGGATGCTGGTAAAAGGCAGGGATTTTCGGGGCTGGGCTCTTGTATGCTCTGCCCATATTGGCATCATGCCTACTACTATGGTAAGCCCAAGCTGGGTGCTTGCTGAGCTGGGCTGATGTTCCAGAGCAGGGTCTTTGTACACAAACACTCCTGCTGACTCCAGCCAGGGGAATGCTGAGCCACAGCACTTGCCATGGGCCTCTCAGAAAACACTGGCTCTCCTCTCCACCTTCCCCTTCCCCAGACACAAACCAAAAACAGAAGATCTGCTAAAAAGTTATTAGGCCGACGCACGACATGGCTGCCTTTAGGGTGGGGAAAGCAACTGAAGTTGGTATTAAAAAGAAATTTCATACACACACACACTAATTTTACAAAGGCTGAAAGCAACTATGCCAAAATGCTAAGTGCTATAAATTCTGAGTGACTGATATATAAATAGTACTGTTATATTATTCTTGGGATTTTGTGTATGCGTGTTTTCAAGTATCTCAAAAAATAAAAGATGATGGGTTTCTGTCCCCCAGGAGGTTATGTCACTAAATCACTGGTGCATGTGTCCATCCATTCAGGTATCTCCTGCTTTGCAGGGCCGTGCTGGGGACACAGTGAACGGAGATCAGTTCCCAGCCCTCCAAAGCCTCCATCCTTCTCTGTGCTTTAGCTGCATGCTTTTTCCATTCTCTGAAACCTTATTAGACAAGAAGGGGTTATCTCATCTCCCTCTACCTCCGTACTCAAAGTAAAACCCAGAGCCCTCGCCTAGACCACATGACCTTACCCAAGCCTCCTCTTTCCTCTCCCGCTCCATGTCCCCACCTCCTGCTTTCACAGGGCAGCACGATGACCTCTGTCACTGTCACACCTCCCGACATGCTTTCGTGCTGATACGCTTAGTATGTGTCTGTAGCCCCTCCTCTCCCTGTCTGGCTCACTCCCCTCTAGTCCCACTGGCTTCCTTGCTATTCTCAAACACACTGGTCTCCCACAGGCCTAGAACTTTCTACCCACAGACACGCTGAAGCTAACTCCCTCACCTCCTCAAGCCTTCTCAGTGAGGCTTTCTGGGATCACCGACTTAAAATTGCAGCCTGGGGTCACCTGGGTGGCTCAGTCGTTAAGCGTCTGCCTTCGGCTCAGGTCATGATCCCAGGGTCCTGGGATCGAGCCCCGCATCGGGCTCCCTGCTCCGCCGGAAACCTGCTTCTCCCTCTCCCACTCCCCCTGCTTGTGTTCCCTCTCTCACTGTGTCTTGCTGTGTCTCTGTCAAATAAATAAATAAAATCTTTAAAAAGAAATAAAATAAAATAAAATAAAATAAAATAAAATAAAATAAAATAAAATAAAATTGCAGCCTGTCTGCTCCCAACCCCTCCCCTCCTGATGCCTTTTACCTTGTTCTACTTTTCTTGTTGGACAGCACTTACTATCTACCAACACACAATATAATCTATGTATTCATTTGGGTTACTGCTTATTGCCTGTCTCCTGCACCAGAATGCAAGACCCGTCAGGCCAGAAATTGGTTTTGTTCACTGACGTATCTGAAGGGTCTCAACAATGCCCTCAATAAACATCTGATGTTGAACCAACCCATTTCAGAGCAATCACAAATACCGTCTTTCCTGTTTACCTGATTATTTATTTACTATTTTCCGCAGGAGAATCAGAGAGCCAGAGCAAGCACCATGCAGCAACAGCCTGTCTGTCCTGTTTAATCCCCACACCCAGCATGTAGAAAAGAGTCTGACACATTTGAGGTGTTCAGTAAATATCTGAAACAAAAGAAGACACTATCGGGCTAGGTCTAATGGGACTTTTTCTATAAAAGGACTTCATGGGAATTTAGCTACCCATTTTCCTCTAATTCCCTGGAAGAATCATAGCCATCTGAAAAGGAATCATTATTTTAACTAGCATAATCATGATGCAAAAATAATTATTTCACTTATTCTGTATCCCAAGTTTGGAAGTCAACTTCAGACTGTAATTGCTGCCCAAATCCCAGTAGTAAACAAACCAGCTTTGCATTTTATATGTTACCATGAGGCTCTCCAGGTTTGTTCTCTCCAGCCAAAGAAATGTTGACACAGTTGCAAGTTTCAACATGCTGATCATGTTAAAATAGTGCACAAGAAATATTTTTCCACTTTATAAAAAGCCAGACTGTTTACATGCTTAAGTGGCCAGAGACTTTGCTATCTGTGTGTGGTCCTGAAGTTTCAATATCATAACCATGAATACAAAGTGGAGCAGCATGCAACAAACTAGTCGATGTCGTTCCACAGCCAAATTGGGAATCAAGATGTTACTATGCAAGGACTAACTCATAAATGGGCAGGTTAATAGAGGTGCGGGGTAGTGGGGGAATGGAAGGAGGGGGGAGTGTCCGATAATGTAATTTTAATATATTTTTGAAGAATAATTTGATATAACTCTGGGTTGTATCTGCATATACATAATACAGGCAAACATCTATATTAAATCGGGAGAGAGAAGGAGCACGAGAGACAGGACGGAAATAGCTCATAAGGTCTTTGGCCTACAGATTTCTACTCACGATCCCATACAAATCTGCTGAGCACAGTGTTAACAACAAGCCCAGACTCAAGCGGTAGGAAAATCTAGGAAAGGGTTCCCAAGCACGGACCTTCATACGCTGGAGACGAGAGGCGTTACATAGGCTGGGCCAGTGGTTCAACCAAGGCCTTGTGCAGCCTGCACAGAGCACCCAGCAGAGGAGGGGCCCCAAGTTCATAGCCCGGCCAAACGAGAAGACATGCCCTGTCTCCTCTGTCTTTCCATTTTCTAAGTAGCACTGGCTTCGGTCTACAATAATTCAGTCTTTCTTCAAGCTAGAAATAGAATTCGAGCCGGGGCTCCGCCCTGTCCAGACAAGATATAACTGAAAAAAGACCTCACAGAAAGAAAAATTATCTACATCTGACTAACTGAAGACACTCATTCCCAGAGTCTAGGGTTTAAATGCTCAAGACAGTTTCTGGATTCTGTGCTGTTTGCATTTATCATTCCTCTAGGTCCCCAAATGCTTCAGGTTAGTGAGGACTGCCGGTTCTCACATTTTTAATAGCTCTCCGCTTGAAAAAGGTTCTCAGTACACTATATCTAAACAAAAAAATAAATCACTTAATGTAAGCAGGTTCATGTTGCAACCTGAAATGCCATTTCCCATTTGACTGCCAAAGGCACAAATTGTTATTCTCAGTTGACTGAATAAGTGAAAGAATGGTACTTCGTTACGATTTCTTTTTCCTGGCATTCTTTTTTTTTCCTTCTACAGTTTCTTTTATAGTCTTCTACAGCTATAGGTCAGAATAGTTTTCCTGTTGCCAGGACAACAGTGTAAATAAGTCAACTTTAAAATTCACTCTGGGGGTATGGAGCTGCCACATTTCCGGCTACCTAAGCCCTGCTGGGTGTGTGTTGCATTCTTCCCTGCAGACGGTGGATCATGGCCATTTAACTGGCCTCCCTCCATTGCACCCACCATCTTTCTGGCCAGGAAAATCCCACAAGCCTCTGAGAGGCCCCTCTCTAACTGCTGGGACCCCTACACACACACATCCGGTAATAGTCTTCTGCACTAAAAGGAGAGGAATGTAAGTCCAATGTTACACTTCCCCAAATGCAGAGCCGAGATTAGAGGTGCATGGTGGATATATGCTTCACCAACTCCTCCAAGCATCTTTGGTGCCTCCCACTTATTAGGCGATGCTACAGAGCAATGATTAAAATAAGGAGCACTAAGAACACCTTTGGAGGGGCAGCATAAAGGGTCTGGGAAGCCCTTGAGAAGGGGCTCTTTATATTCAAAAGGCTCTAACCATCTCTCCACCATGTCCACTGTCCTGCTGCAGCTTTCCAGATCTATCTCACTAGAGGTCCAGTAACTCCTACAAGGGACCAGCCTATGCCTGCAGGAGGGGGTTCTTCCTGTCATTTCAGAGAATTCTCCATTCACAGTTAATCTGTCCATTCTCCCAGGGCTCCTGGAACCCAAAGAATAGAGAAGGTACACATACTTAACTGAATCCCACTCCAGGGTCTGAAGATGAGAGACCCCAGTCCTAGGATAAGCCAATAGTAAAGGTGAACATATTTACAGCATCTCAAGGCTGCCAAGACTCAGCTCTCCACCCATACAAAATTTCTAGGCTTTCTTCCCGGTTGCTGCTCCTTCTTCATTGGTTGAACGGTGTCCCCCCAAAAGATACGTTGAAGTGCTAATTCCCAGTACCTGTGAACGTGATCTAATTTGGAAACGGGGTCTCTGCAGATATAATCAAGTTAGAGGAGGTTAGTAGGGTGGACTTTTCATTCAATAAGACCACTGTCCTTGTAAGAAGAGGAAAAAGAGACACAGAGAGAAGAGGGCTGTCTGAAGATGGAGGCAAGGATTAGAATGATGTGTCTACAAGCCAAGGAAAGCCAAGAATTGCCAGCAAACACCAGAAACTAGGAGAGTTAAGGAAGGATCCTCCCACAGAGCCTTCAGAGAGAAAGCATGGCCTGCTGACACCCTGATTTTGGACTTCCAGCCTCCAGGACTGTGAGACAATAAATTGTTGTTTTTAAGGCACCAAATTTGTGGTACTTGGTTACAGCAGCTCCAGGAAACTAATATAAAGAGCAGTTTCTCTCTCACAGAAAGTCAGGACATTTGTTAATGGAATTGTCCTTCGAATGAAAGCAAAGCTGCTTGTAAAAGCATAGGGTACACACAGCAGATTCTCCTGTGCCAGGAGGCAGCAGGCTGGCCTCAATAGCAGTTTTACAGGAAAGGGCATGTGCAGTTACTTCTCCAGGGTGCAGCTCAGGCCCTGGCAATGTCTGGCTCCAAATTTAAAATCTGCCTATTAGGTGCACCTAGGTTGAGCATCCGACTCTTGATTTCAGCTCAGGTCGTGATCTCGGGGTCATGGTATTGGGCCCCGCGTCGGGCTCCACACTCAGCACAGAATCTGTTCGTCCCTCTCCCTCTGCTTCTCCCCACGCAAGTGCACACATGCTCTCTCTCTCAAATAAATAAAAAAAAAATTTTAAAAATCTTTAAAATCTGCCCATCAGCCACCGCCAGCTGTTAGGGAGACTCAGGAGCTACTTTACCCCTGGGAAGCTCTAGAGGACAGCAGGTCCGGAGACCTAGGAGCTCCCAAGAGGACTATAACATATACATCCTAGGGCCCCACCTAAAGGAGGTAGGGGGGACAGAGAGCAGGGTAGGCCATAATGGTGGTGCCCCACAGTCGTAACATATATATCTAAGGCAGCCCAGGGCACTGTAACTAGAAAGAGAACCAGGTCACAGTCACCAACACCAAGGTCAAATAGCAAGAAAGGTGGTACAGACAATCAAGTCTAAAGAGCTAGATGCACATTTTGAAGAGCTACTTGTACACACTGGCAAATTCACCAAATATTTACTGAGCACCTACTATGTACCAGGCATTATCTGGGGCATTAAGGATATAGCAGTGAATAAATCAGGTAAAAATCCCTGCCTGAGTTTTCATTGTAATGGAGACAGATGTCCCCGCCCCCCCCCGCAAAAAGCAAAATATTAGACAAGGATTTGAGTAGTAGAGAAGGATAAAGCAAAGGATAGGAAATGCTGGGAACAGGGGTGGTATTGGACTAAATGGAGTAGAGGAAGGCCTCAAAGAGAAGGTCAAGGACAGAGAATACGCTCTGCGGCTATCTGGGGGAAGGGCCTTCTAGGCAGCATTCTAGGAGTAGCAAAAGCAATGGCCATAAGATGTGGGCTGGAACCCGCAAAGGATAAAAAGGAGGCCTATGAGGCTGAAACCAAATGGACATGTGGGCAAGCATGCACATGCACACAGACAACCCTCAG